CTCGCTCAGGGCACATGCCTGGGCTGTGGGGCTTGATTCCCAGTAGGGGGCGTGCAGGAGGCAGCCATCACTGATTCTCTCTCATCACTGATGTTTCTCTCTCTCTCTGTCTCCCTCTCCCTTCCTCTCTGAAATCAATAAAAATGTATTTAAAAAATAAAATAAAATCTAAAAGTACTACCTACTTAATAGGATGTTTGTGAGAACAGGAGGAGAAAATAATATATAGAAAAGCCTAAATATAATAACTGGTTCCTGCTGAGTACTTACTGTTAGCTCTTATTATAAACTATTATGTGGATAACCATCTGGAAGCCACTAAAACACTTCTCTGGGCTAATGTGAGCCCCAAGAAAGAAAGAGGTGATGGGGGAAGAAGATGCTGGGAGAATATTCTGAAGACGAGCACTTGGTGGCCTTTGATAAGTGGGGCAACAAAGGCAAGGATGATGGGGGTGGGGTCAGTAAGGGAATAGGTCTGTCAGTCTGGGCTGTCGATGACTGACTGCCTTCAAACTCTGGCTTGCAGCACAAAGGGTTGAGAATGAAGCACAAGTCACCCTGATCTGACAATCCAAAGAGGAGATGATGAAGCAGGAAAACAAAGAGCGGCCAGTCAAACAAACAGACTCCTAGGAGCAGACATGGTCACGTGCAGACTGAACAGGAAGCCAGGCCTGCCACAGTCAGGAGGAGGTAAATGGCTTCCCATGGCAAGACCAGCTCCATCACTTGCTATTGAGCAGCCACTTGCCTCAAGGAGCAGTGATAAGTGCCATCCATGTAGGCCCTGCTGGGAACTCACAGGATAGGGCACAGTGGCCTTACGTCATTCATAAATCATTAGGTTTCTTCTGAGTTGTTGCTCCCATATTTCTGTGAAAAAGACTCCACTTTCTTCCCCTGGAAAGGCTGTCCCATGAAATCTCAGCAGTTGATGATGATCTTGGGCTACGGCTGAGACAATGACAGACTCTATGGATTTTAGTCAGATCTGTAGCAGGATGTCACAAGCCTATTCGTAGACAAATTCAGCTACTTCCCATTTCACTAAAAAATGGCCCCCAAGTGTAAAAGTAGAGATGCTGGCAATTCGGATGTGCCAGAAAGAGGCCATAAAGTACCTGCGTTAAGGGAAAGGTGAGTACAGTGCAGTAGGAAATTTTGAGAGACATAGAAACTGAGGTGACATTCATATAACTTTTATTATAGTATATTATTATAATCATTCTATTTTATTATTAGTTACTAGAGGCCCAGTGCACATCCGTGCACCAGTGGGGTCCCTCGGCCTGCCCTATGGGGATTGGGCCAAAACCGGCTCTCTGACATCCCCCAAGGGGTCTGGGATTATAAGAGGGCGCAGGCTAGGCCAAGGGACCCCACTGGTGCATGACCAGGCCAGGGAGGGACTGTGGGAGGGCTCCAGGGCGTGTCCTGCCCTTCTGACCCAGCCCCGATCCACCGACCCCAGCAGCAAGCTAGCTAACCTACTGGTTGGAGTGTCTGCTTTTTGTTGGTCAGTGTGTGTCATAGTGACTGGCTGAACAGTCAAACAAATGGTCAGACACTTAGCATATTAGGCTTTTATTATATAGGATTGTTGTTAATCTCTTACTGTACCTAATTTAGAAATTAACTATCATAGGTGTGTATGTGTAGAAAAAACATAGGATATTTAGGGCCTGGTATTATCTGTGGTTTTAGGCATCCACTACTAGAGGGTCTTGGAAGCATTATCCAAGGGGGAACTGTATAAAAATTTTGATTTGATATGTTTTTTTAATTTGCCAGCTTTATTTTTCTATTTATTTATTTTTTTAATCCTCACCCAAGGATATTTTCCCATGATTTTTAGGGAGAGTGGAAGAGAGAGGAAAAGACAGAAACTTCATTGTGAGAGAAACAAATTGATTGGTTGCCTACTGCATGAGCCTGAGCAGGGCCTGGGCCGGGACAGAGCCAACAACCAAGTACGAGCCCTTTGGTCCATAAGCCATAGCTCTAACCACTGAGCCAAACTGGCTAGGGCTGCCAGCTTTATTTTTACTTTATTTTTATTGTGGACACTGTTGTAGATGTCTCAATCTCTCCTTCTCTCCTTTCCACTCCCCCTTTTCCCCACCTGCACCCAGCCCTGCCACCCCCCTCTCCAGCCATCACTACACTATTGTGTCTATGAGTTATGCATATACACTGAGTGGCCAGAATATTATGATCTCTGAACACATACTAATCTGGCCACTCAGTGTATATCCTATATAATAAAAGGCTAATATGCAAATTGTCCCTTTGACCAGAAGTTCGACCAGCAGGCAGGCCAACCACTCATGTCCCTCCCCCCTGGCCAGGCTGGCCGGACCCACCCATGCACGAATTCATGCACCGGGCCTATAATAAACACACATACACACACACACACACACACACACACACACACTGAGTGGCCAGATTATTATGCCTTCAGAGATCATCATAATCTGGCCACTCAGTGTATGTTCTTTGGCTAATCCCTTATCTTTCTTTCATCTACTCCCCCCTCCCCCTGATTTTATAAGTTTTTTAAGAGATAGAATAAACTTAGCAAATAATAGTTATTTTAAAAAAATACACACACACCAGAGAAAACCCCAAAGTAGCCTTAGGCCTGCAATACAGTTCCCAAATGACTGTCGGGGATAATATTTTAGTAAAATAGTAATTTTAGTTATCTTTTCAGAAGTGTTGCTTACATGGACTTTTCTCCGTTTCCAGGCTTATGATTGTTTAATATTTCCTTTCATATTTCCCCAGAGCACGTTTTCTTTTTTAAAAAAATATTTTATTGATTTTTTTACAGAGAGGAAGGAAACATTGACCAGCTGCCGGGGATGTGCCCGCAACCAAGGTACATGCCCTTGACCGGAATCGAACCCGGGACCTTTCAGTCCGCAGGCCGACGCTCTATCCACTGAACCAAACCAGTTTCGGCTAGAACACGTTTTCTTACTTGCCCAGGGATTTCAGGCTTTTCAGATTTGTTTTATAGTTCAGTTTTTAAAGAGGTGTCTGTGATTGAGGTGAATATATAGTGAGCTGGTGCTGGGGTGTTCAGCTTCCAATATTAAACGTAAGGGACTTCTTTAAAATGGATACAAAACTTCATAAAAGCTTTCGTGCTGACAACACTGGGCCTTTAGGGTCAAGCTCAAAGAATGAGAAAACAAAGAGTTGTTATTGTAAGTTGCTTGGTTAATCTAATTTATTCACATATTTAACCACAGTCAGCAGGTAGTTGTTTTCCTTAAAGAGGCTCACTTTCCAAAACACCATTTTCAAAATGTTTTCTTTCCCCACAAGCCCCTTGGGTTCAGTTAACTCTTTTTCTGCTAACCAGCGTCTTGCCTGTGGTTACTGGCCACCTAGCAGTACCATGGTTGTGGGTGGACTCTGTAGGCCTGTTTTGGAGGCGTGCTGAGCCACCAGAAAGATCTCCCCTGGATTAATCCAATATGGGTTCACACTTGTTTATATGGCCGCCTTCTGATTTAGGAGCCATAACAAACACTGAAACAAAGGGATTCAAGCCGAAACCAGTTTGGCTCAGTGGACAGAGCGTCAGTCTGAGGACTGAAAGGTCCCAGGTTCGATTCTGGTCAAGGGCATGTACCTTGGTTGCAGGCACATCCCCAGTGCGGGGGGTGTGCAGGAGACAGCTGGTCGATGTTTCTCTCTCATCGATGTTTCTAGCTCTCTATCCCTCTCTCCCTTCCTCTCTGTAAAAAATCAGTAAAATATATTAAAAAACAAACAAACAAAAAACAAAGGGATTCAAGGCAAAATCCCCCTTTGGAGGAGCCCAGGATTTATTCCCTAAACCGGGGTCACCAACCTTCCAGGTCTCACAGACGGTTGGTGTCCACTGTCCTAGCCAACACAGAAAGCAGAAGCGGAGGATGGATTTTTCAGGGATCTGTCAACTTCTTTTGGAAAACATTCATCTTGGCAATCAGTACAATTGTTCTTATCAACTACCATTTTCCTTATTGTGGTCATTAGCGGGTGCAGGGACTTAGATCAGTGCAATGGGTAATAAAAGTAGTTCTGAAATAGTCTCTTCCTCATGCCTCTTCTGAAGTTCATTCTTCGTCCTGGGGAATATTTTTCTTTCTTTCCCCCTGGTGGTTTTAAGCACTAGTTTAAGGAACTGCCCTCCCAATAGGATGCTCATTTCCCTTCTTGGCACCTGTGTCCAACTCCAGCCTATTTGCAAATGTCCTGTACAAATGTGGGCTTTTTTGTTCCTGTCCGATTAGCAAAGTGAGCCACTTTCCCTTTGAGTAGTATTTTATGTAGGATGAGACTGTTTTGGGCAAGGTGTTTTTTTCTCCAGTGTTTCAGAATCCCACCTCTGACTCTTCCTTGTGTAACATAGAGGCTTATTTAAGGAGTTCTAAGCTCTGGAAAATTCTGCAGGTGAAATGTCGTGTCAGCAATATAAAGTTATCTTACAGGTGTTGCTACTAATAAAACCGTGGCTTTCAACTGGCTTCTTTCCAGAGTTGTTTAAACAATTACCAAGTTTGGGGTTCTGTTCCTTGGCCATTTTTATTTTACACTCAACAGGAAAATTCTCTTAAGAAATAAAGGAGTAGTCAAAAGGCGTACAACAAACAATGAAATCAAAGCGTAATTTATTAAAAAAGAATCACAACAGAAACTCTAAGTACCAGTGTGTACATTGTACACATTTAAATGACTCACAAGAATGAAGTTTTTTTTTTTTCATATACATTAAGATTACACCACCGTGTTATGTTATCAAAAGATGTTCAAGGATAAATCTGACTCCAAACTGCATTGCCATCTTAAAGTGACCACATTTCAAACATGCAACAACGCCACTGGTAATAAAGCTTTGGAATGGGTGCTCATTGTCTTATTTCACTACAAACATGATAGAAAGAAGAGAAGTTGGGAATCTGCTCTAAAATGGGAGGTGTCGTCTCCACCAGCACGCCTCACTCCTCCGCTGCCATTTTTAGCAAGTACTCCTTGTCGATCTTGAAAAGTCTCCATCCCTCTTCGCTGGACAGGTCAGAGGCACCTCTCTTTTTGTAGAAGTTGATAGATGGTTTATTCCATTCTGCCACCAGGAAGTGCATGCTGCTGCAGCGACATTTCATCGCAACCTGTTACACAGGGGCGAGTAAAATACAAACTCAGTGTGGCCTTTTACTTGCTTCCCAGGATCCGCTTTTGATTCAGTGGTTAGAATAATCTAGTTAACTCATACAATTTCAGGAACCCAAAACCAAAACATACCTGGCTTAGATTCTTCAGAATTTCTGATCCTATCCCAAAGCCTAAAAGAAAGAGAAATACCATTGAAAAAAGTCACCTGGAGGACGTTAAGCCCTGATTCCTCTTTAGAGCCACCCTTCTGAACTCAGCCATACCTCTAAAATCACTCATTACGAAGAAATCCTCAAGATACAGGAGTTTTCCAATCCATGGGTCATAGGTAAAATAGTACATGGCAAAACCAACAATGCTGTGTCCTGTAATCAGAGTATCATATGAGCTATGGACAAAATGGATTCATAAAAGCTGTAGTTGCAAAATCCAAAGCCTATCATAGGTTTTAAAAACATACATGCATGTATTAGCGAGAAGAATGCTTTCATTACTTGCCAGAGCAAAACTGCTCTAGTCTTAAACTAAAGTCACACATTATTCACATCCTAATCATATATGGTGACTTGGGGATAAGGCTTACACGGCAGTTCAGAATAGTAAATATCTGTAGTTTAGAAACCCTGCTTCCTTAAAGTCAGGACATGAGGCCAAAAGTGCAACATTTAATTTCAGATCTTTCCTTCCATTTCAAACATTTTTGATTTGCTCTCCCCAGTTTTTAAGCCAGAAGAAGCAGAGGTATCCAGAATCAGGTATCATGTAACATCCACATATCTCTAAAAAAAAATACTTCATCCCTTATGCTTTCTGCTCATTTCTTCTAGCTTGGGGAACAGACTTCCGGGGGAAAAAGAGGTAAGCACCTACTCGAACAACTTCCCCTTTTAGTTCTGGGTTGTTTTTTGTTGTTGTTTTTGTTTTTTACCAGTTAATAGGGACCAGCAAATAAATAAAATAAGACTCCCTTTTATTGAATGTCTACAATTCCAAATGGAGGCAAAGGTTTCAAATTAAACTTTCTTGCCATTTGATAGTCCTTTGTAAACAACGGAAGCGAGTAGAATAGAGTTTCTGATCTACCGTGTTTAATATCTACCATGTGATAGTAGGGCCTTACCTCATTTTATCATGATCATCTACTTTATTGTGTAAAGGATCTTTTAGTTACCTCCCCGCCCATCCATGTACACGGAAGGGCCATGTACATGGCGAAGCTAGAGACTGTAACCTGAAGATTGGGACAAATTAAGAAAAAAACGTGATTTAACAGAATTACAAAAAGAAGAGCTTACGATAGGGTCAAACAAGAACCATTTATGAAACTGACTCACAACACACGACATACCTAAGTCTTTGGGATCTCCACAGCACTCTCATACTTACTCTGAAACAGCTCAAGTACTTCCGGGTCTCCACGGCACTCTGATACTTAAAATAGCTCTTTTCACCCGCCCTAATAAGCATATCACCTCTATTTTACTTCCTCAGTGGTTAGAACACTAGCTGGCTATGATCTCTGGCCACATCTCAGTCACTTAAAGCCTGTGTTGTCAGCCGTGCTACACAGCAGCTCCTATCACCCTAGGCCTCTCTGGTTTCTGGAAGGGGAGGGCGGTTTACCTTCCGGAGTGATGTGCTCCTTGGATACTTCTGCCACCAGGCAGTGGTAGAAGGGATGCTCCCCGAAGCCATCCTCCAGCAGATCTGCGGGAAAGGGCAGGGGGGTCACTCAGTGTTGGCGTCGGGGAGGGCGACAGGCACCTGCCGCGCCCCCTCCAACCCGCCACTGTCGCGTTACCTTTTTCAGTTATTATTACTTGTTCTTCCATATATTCGTATTTAGCCAGTTCCTAAGGCGATGCACGTAGGAGAAAGGAAAAGAGGCAGAAAAGTGAGTGAGGGCCCGGCCAGCCTAGAGGGAAGGGGGGGCAGGAGGGGGGAGAGGCAGGGCAGGGCGCGGCGGGGCGGTGATTCATTGGGGAGTCCCGTCCCGAGCCGCTGCAGGGGGAGGCGGGTGGAAGGAGAACCGGCCTGAGTCCCAGGCTCAGCGGAGACGGCGGCCTCCGACCTCCCGCCTCGCCCCCCGCCCCCCGGGGGAAGCCGGCGCCTCCCGCTAACCTTGATCAGGCGCAGGATGTCACTGCAGTCGGCGGCGGTGGCGGGGCGGATCACGAAGTTAGCCATTTTCGTCTTTTGCTTTTCTTCCCTTTGCGGACTAAGCCTCTGTACTTGAACAACAGGAGAAGGTGGTTCTTCATTCGTTTCCCGGGAGCGGCCTCTTCTCAGTCAGGCTGGCACCATGACCCGGGAAGCCTCGGTGAGCAACTGAAAGCCGTGACCAGAGCCGCAGGAAAAATACGAGGCGGTGGCGCAGCGCACGGGCTTTTCAGCGCGAGGAAGCCCCGCCCCCGTCGTGAGGCGATGGCTCCTCGTCCAATGAGGCTGCGAGCTCCTTCCGGGTGGGGCCCTCCCTGCTGGCTCCCGTGTGAACCCTCCGGGCGCGGGCGGGGCGATGACGCACGCCACCAGCTCGCCGGCGGCGCCCTCTAGCGGCGATTTGCCGAATCTCCCGGAAGCCCGACGTGGGAGCCCAGGTGTCCCCGGGCCCCTTTGCAAGTGGAAGAGGGTGACTTGGCTGTTTCCTCCCTGAAACGTGAGAGAAGGGAACTCAGGAAACCAGGGTTCCGAGCAGCGCTTCCGAAATTGTGGCCTGGGGGAGTCTTTGGGCTCCAAGATCCTCGTAGGGAGTCGGCGTCAAAACTAGTTTCATAACAATAGTAAGACGTCATGTGTCTTTTTCAACCTCCGTAGAATTTTCCAGAGGCAATCTGATGTGTGATTAAGTCATTACTCAGATGACTAAAGGAATAGGTTCTTGTATATTCTGTTTTGTAGGATGTCCTAGAGTAAGCTATTTGGATTTCTCAGTAATTTTTTCTCTCCTGTACAGTACTTGTAATTTAGTTAAAATATTTTCTTTTATACTTTTTTTTCCATTTAAAATTTTTCATCTTCCTATGGGAACACTCCTAAGTTACACTCTTCATAATTTCCTTTAGCGAAAGTCTGCTTTTGTAAAATTTTATTGTGCTTGTATAAATGTATTTCTTATTAAAACTGTTTTTAAAAAATATATTTTAGCTGAAACCGGTTTGGCTCAGTGGTAGAGCGTCGGTCTGCGGACTGAAAGGTCCCAGGTTCGATTCCGGTCAAGGGCATGTACCTTGGTTGCGGACACATTTCCGGTAGGGGGTGTGCAAGAGGCAGCTGGTCGATGTTTCTCTCTCATCGACGTTTCTAGCTCTCTATCCCTCTCTCCTCCTCTCTGAAAAAATCAATTATATATATATATATATATATATATATACACACACACACACACATACATACATGTATATATATATTAGCCAAGACCAGTTTGGCTCAGTGGATAGAGCGTCGGCTTGAGGACTGAAAGGTCCCGGGTTCGATTCCAGTCAAGGGCATGTACCTTGGTTGCGGGCACATCCCCAGTAGGGGGTGTGCAAGAGGCAGCTGATGGATGACTCTCTCTCATCGATGTTTCTCTCTATCCCTCTCCCTTCCTCTCTGTAAAAAAATCAATAAAATATATATTTAAAAATATATATATATATATTATTGATTTTTTTACAGAGAGGAAGGGAGAGGGATAGATTTGGAAACATCAGGTAAAAAAGAATCATCGATCAGCTGCCTCCTACTGGGAATGTGCCCGTAACCAAGGTACATGCCCTTGACCAAGATCGAACCTGGGACCTTTCAGTCCTCAGGCCGACACTCTATCCACTGAGCCAAACTGGTTAGAGATCTTCTTAAAATATTTAAAGGATTTATTTCACTGCTTATAGAATTTGAGGTTGGAAGTTATTTTCTTTCAGCATATTAATGACATCTATGTTGAGGGTTGTTGTAATCCCTACTTGCTGTATCTTCTGTGCTTCCTTTTTCCCTTTATTTTTTATTTTGAAATAATTATAAATATACAGGATGCAATGGCATATTGCTCTGGTGACTAAAGGAATGTGTGCTTGTGTATTCATGTTTTCTAAAATTTTCAAACTTTAGCATTTTTGCATTCGATAATTTTAAAAATATATTTTATTGATTTTTTTATATATATAGGAAGGAAGGATAGTTAGAAACATCAATGAGCTGCCTCCTGCACACCCCCTACTGGGGATGTGCCCGCAACCAAGGTACATGCCCTTGACTGGAATCAAACCTGGGACCCCTCAGTCCGCAGACCTACGCTCTATCCACTGAGCCAAACTGGTTAGGACTCGATAATTTTTAAATGTCAAAATGTTTGAAAACAGTTAAACTAGAATATAGCTATGCCTGGAACAATTACTCAAACCTCTTGCACATAGTTTTTCTTTTACAACCCACTTTCCCAGACAGACCCTCCTGAGGATCTTGCTTGGGCTGCCGTGCCTGGGTTTCCGGGTAAGTCAAAGAGAACGAGAAAGCATAAAAGGAGCCTGCAGTGTGTTCAGTCTGTAAAATGAGAGGTTGAACTATCACCAAATGATCCCCACCCCAACCATTCAACAAGTGATTTTCTGCCTTTGCTAGGAATATCCCACATGTAGAGAAGAAAGCAAAAGTAGGTTCACAGTTATGAGAACCTCCTGGGGATGTCATGCGCAGTGACTCACGGTAAGAGTTTACGAAATGTCTTTCTCAATGATCTTTAAAAATGTCATTAGTTCTCAGTTGCCTAAGCTACTGTAGGTGTTTTCTTTCCTGACACCATGACGCACGGATGACCATTCATAGGTTCTTCCCTCCACTGCTTCGGTCAAACATGCAAGAGAACGAAGGAGAACTTGCAACAAATTTACTGCTAATTATAAATTAGACTTCCATGACTAGGCTGTAATGAGAGCTGCTTAGTTGAAGCAAAATCAAACCATTTAAAAATATATATTTTTATTGATTTCAGAGAGGAAGAGAGAGGGAGAGAGAAAGAAACATCAATGATGAGAATCATTGACTGGCTGCCTTCTGCATGCCCCCTATTGGGGATCGAGCCCATAATCCGGGCATGTGCCCTTGACCGGAATCGAACCTGGGATCACCTTTTAGTCCCCAGGCTGGCACTCTATCCACTGGGCAAAACCAGCTAGGGCAAAAAAAAAAAAGCCATTTTTTATTTGGTTGCTTAGTGTTTTAGAAATTGATTATTTCATTAAAATGCATTATACTATTTTTTCTTTTTTAAAATTTCTTTATTGATTATGGTATCACATAATTGTTCTCATCACCCCATTCCCATCCCAAACCCCTCCCCACATAGGCTCCCACCCCCCTGTTGTCCGTGACCACTGGTTAGGCTTATACACATGCACACAAGTCCTTTGGTTGATCTCTCCCACTTACCCCATCCTCCCCTACCTTCCCTCTGAGGTTTGACAGTCTGATCAATGCTTCTCTGTCTCTGGGTCTGTCCTTGTTCATCAGTTTATGTTGTTAATTATTTCCCCTAGATTCTTGAGATCATGTGATACAAGAAATACACTTATATGAACTAAAAATGAGACCAGCCATAATGGTTATGCTGAGAGGCAAATGAATCAGGCTGTAGCGAGTTCCTTTCTGGGCCAACAGTTCTTTTGAGTCCCAATTTCAATGTCAAACAGTTCCTTATGTGTACATGTCAGCCATATTTCAGATCTGGTTGGTGGGCAAATGGTGGTGATGCAGGTCCGACCCTTCTCTGGTTTGGTCCTGGGCATCCTTCGGCACAGCTGCTGTCTGCTGGTATGACGAGGCGTCGTCAGCGTCTTCCATCTCTGGACTGCTTCTCTTCTGTCTTCATGGCTGGGGCACAGCAATATGAAAGCAGGTTGTATAACTGTACAGAAACTTCATTTCTTTAACATGACATTTTCTCCTTTCTTTCCTTTGGATTCAAACTGGCCTCATCCAGCACCTAACTCACCTGCCTCATTCTCCCTTGCATGTCCACTCCCTTAATCAGTAAGCCCGCAGGACAGTGAGGCTCTGGTCAGCATCAAGTAACCTTAGGAATAAAACCTTGGGTCTGTTGACCCCAGAGATAGTTTCAGTCAAACTAGAGATAACATCTAGGCCTCAGTTGTGTTTCAGCTCCAGGCTCCGCAAAGTGGCAAAACCAGATGGAGCAACGCCATGGCTGATATCAGGACCAGAAGTACTGATCAACTACCTGGTACCCTAGCACCAACCAGTAGAGACCATGACCCCTAACTTCCTTAAACACCATAACTAGTGATTTTACCCCTACATAAACCATCGCCTAGAAACCAACTGGGAGCTAGACTTTAGAGCAATAGCTCACCTGTAATTCAGGTTTGGTACCATTTCCTTAACTAATACACCTTTACTTCTCAACTGCAAACTCCTGTTCAAGTTTGATGAACTCAGGGGAACAAACCTTTAATTCAGTAACAGTTATCTTATAACATCCCTTTTGTATTAATCATCTGTTGTCACATAAATTAATGCAAATCTAGTGACATCTTATACATGTTTATTATTGTGGTGTTTGTAGGTCAGGAGTTGGGCAATGGCTTAGGTGGGTCCCCTGCCCGAGGTGTCAGCCAGGCTGTGATCTTGGGATTGTGACCAAGGAAGAATCTACTTGCAAGCTCAAGTTGTGGGCTTTGGAAGAATTCATTTCCTTGATTGAGGGTCTTGGCTTCTTGCTGCCTGTTGGCTGAGGCTAGGCTGTCCATTGCTTTTGAAGCTGTCTGCAGTTTCTCATCACCTTGGCTTATCCAGCATGGCCATTTACTTCATCAAGCCAGCCAGGAGAATCTTTAGTCTGCTAGCAAGATACAGTCTTTTTGTGTGTGTGTGTGGAAAAAACCCCCATATAACATAAAATTTACCATCTTAGCCATTTATAAGTGTACTAGAGACCCAGTGCACAGATTCGTGCACCAGTGGGGTCCCTCTGCCTGGCCTGCAGGGAGCAGGCCAAAACCGACTCTCCCAACATCTCCCAAGGGGTACCAGATTGTGAGAGGGCATAGACCAAGCTGAGGGACCGGGGTGGGACTCGGGAAAGCTCCAGGGCGTGTCAGGCCCGTCTTGCTTAGTCCTAACTGGCCGGACCCCAGTAACAAGCTAACCTACCAGTTGGAGCATCTGCCCCCTGGTGGTCAGTGCATGTCATA